TAAGCCGGCGCCCGCCGCGCCGCAGCCCCCCGCCGCGGGGCTCCCCGGACGAAAAAACGAGGAGCAGGAGCAGAGCCGGGGTGCGTGCCGAGCGTCGTCGTCGGCCGGCGGCAGCGAGCGGTTGTCGAGCGGGCACGCGTCGGACATCGGACTCGCGCAGAGCAGGCATCGGCTGAAGCTGTGCAAGAGAAACTCGAGCAGCGAGAAACCTACGAGACGCAGTCGTCTGAAAGCGACGACACGCCGGCACCGGAAGAAGAAGCGTCGGAACGGCGACGAGCTGAGCAGGCGGCAAGAAGCACAAGAAGAGAAGCGCAGAGGAGCGGTCGGCCGGGGGAGGAGGGCGGCGAGTGCGCGAGCGAGTCCGCGGCGGACGACGACGAGGCGTCGGTGAGAAGGCCACAGAAGCACAAGAAGAAGCGGCGGAAAAGAGAAGGAGCGGCGAAGCGGGAAGCGCGCAGCGAGGACGCACGACGATGACGGCGAAGCCTCCTTCAAGATGGAGTGGGTGGAGAAGACGAAGGAGACGGTGCTCACAGACACTCTCGACGGCGCTCCCTGCCGCCGCCGCCGCCACTGAGCTCAAGCCCGACGCTCAGGGTGCCGACGTACAGTTGGACGCGCACGCGAAGGAGGCGTGTGCGCGGCGAGCGGTGTGGAGCGGCGCGCCCGCTCGACCCTCGCTGCGGCGTCGAGAGAGCTGCTGCTTGGTCAGTCTAGTCACGTCGTACGGCCGTGGGCGTGTTAGGCTGGGACGGGGGAGGACAGCCATGTCGACCTCGAAGTCAAGCGCGAGATCGCCGCAGCAGCAGCTGCGCCGTCGCCTACGACGACGGTCACGACGAAGAGCTCGACTGCCGGCAAGACGTAGAAGGTGAAGCAGCGCCCCCTGCTGGAGCAGCGGCCGGCGAGCGAGAACCCGTTTCAGAAGGTAGCCACGCTCGAAGCAGCAGGTTGGGGAGCCCACCACTGGCAAACCGATCCGGCTCAAGAAATCACTACCAAGTAGCGGACGGTTGTCATGGTAAACAGTCATGTGGTGCGGCTACCACGCCAGCCGAAAATTTCAGGGTGGTGGCCCCAGAACAGCCATGGAGATGGCGTTATAGTAATTACAATTATGGAGAAAACACGACACGAATGCGTTCCAGGGGCAACAGCTACCATAGTCGTTCATCAATCATCATCACGCGACGAGTTTTCGAACTAGATACTAATATTAATTTGTTAACAATCAGCTACCTGCTACCTGTTGTCACTGCCAATTGATATGTTATCAAATTGACAATTGAGCTTTTTAAAAGCGTTACATCGTGCAGGAATACTATGTCATTTGACATTTTGTGGCATTTTAATCACATGCTGTGTGTGCAGTTGTGTACAGGAGTACAAAAGACAGTTACTAAAGAGAACCTTCCACTTAGTACAATAATACATTAAATTGTACGTGATCTCACTTTAAAACGTTTTTTCTCTCTAAGTTTTAGGCAAAAGCACACTACACAAACAGTTGCAAGTTTTGTTTTCTGGAAAACACTGCAGATTCATAAGTTACTGTTTAAGTAACTTTCATTTGTAATGCCTGTGACGCTGGTGCCCAGAAGGTTACAGTTATAGAAGCAGTGTGCGTTCTGGTGTATGTGCAAATCTTGTTGTTATTTACCCCCCCCCCTTTTTATATGAATCGATGGAGATGCTAGTGTATTTGACCTGTCAGTTTAAATTATTGATTATACATTGCGCTATCATGCCACTTAAAGAAACGTGTTTACATTATGTGAGTAGAGCAAGCAAGAACTATTCCAAGTGATTATCAATGACTGCTAAATCATTAGGTGTGGGCACGAGTATCTTTTTTTATACTCTGTTAATACGCAGTTGTTGGCTTTTAAGAATGGGAAAGTACAATTGGGGTTAACACTTGCAAGTCTGCACTGTAGTTTCACAAGCGAAATTGATGCTAATTAATTGCGGTGTTGCAACAGTGTTGCAATTTTACGAAGGTTATGCGATAGAACTCGCCTAATTGACATATTGACAATGATTTAACTTAAATTAAGTGACAGGTTTGTGTACACGGGTGGGTGTGGTCCGTGCAAAGGAAAGGCAAAATATGAACAGTCTTTGAAGAATTTAGATCCGATTGCACCTCACTACTACTCAAGGTAGTAAAAGTAGTAAAAAATAGTAGTAAAAATATTTTTGGTAGTAAAAGTACCAAAAAATCGTAAAATAGTGTAGATCGTCCCATGTGACTTTCATGTAGTATATTTTTGCACCGAGATGAAATTCGTGCTCGATGTGTGAGGATGTTATTTATGTCCGTGTTTGGCGAATGTTTAAATTCGTAAAAAGACATAAGTATGTCAAAATTAGGTGAACTAAGTAGACAATGCAACCCACTTTTAACTAGACAATCCTAATTTAATATTCTGACACCCGAGTTTGTGCTGTTAGAATTTTTTGTGCACTTTCATCATGATTGCACATGGACTGTTGCGGATGCTTCCTTATATTAACGAGTTTTCTTTCGAATTCAATTTTTTATGAAATGTGTTAATTTATCAATACAAATCACACAGCAGTAGTCATGGGATCATGAAGATATCACATGTAAACTTGTAAGCGTATTGCCTGTTTATAGTTACAAATATTTAATGTAATTTTTGTAATTTCGACACCAGGCAGTACCATAAGCAATTGTGTTTATGTAGGTTTTTGCAATGAAACTATTCTCTAGGTGGGTGGGTGGGGTCATTAAATGCTGTCGGATCAGTCGCATGTATATAAGTGATATATATATATGTCTACACACAACATGCGGTCAGCCTTGAGTGCACACACCAACACGCAATTCACTTTCTTCAAGCCACATCAAAATGTTATTTACGATAATATATCTTCACAAGAAAGGGAGAGAAAGCGACCTGGTTTAGTTTACCTACATGAACAGTATATAGCACATGTGTAGCAATGTTGTTATTGTTTTTATGAATCACTGTTTTGCGGTGAGTACTGACCGTAGTGCAATTTTGGTACAGTTGATTGCTAGTAGATCCATGTGGAGTGTTGTTGTGCCTCACATGTTTTTGTTGAAAGGTATTGTATATTTGTATTGTATCTTTTTTCCGTTTAGTGATCATTGAGATGCACTATGGTCGTATCGAGTTGAGAGATTGCTTTGTCATATATGGTTGTATTGGTGGTGTCACGAGCCTTTCTTCCGTAAGGTATTTCACTTTGTTTATTACACTTTTAATCATCATTTTTAGTAACAAGTAAACATTGCAAGAAAACTTGTTATATTTTATATATGAATCGGCAACCTGTTTAAAATATGCTAGGGGTACAACCTCTAGCCGTAAGTTCAGTATCGTGACAGAAACCGTATATGTAAGAAAGGACCTGAATGTCAGTCGGTTCAATTGCGCTCCGTGTGTTCAACTAACGGCCATTTTTATAGAGCAAAACTGCCGCTGAATGCACCTGCTTCGTTATTAACACGGTGCCAGGTTTTAATAATAACTCCGCCTGAAAATGCAGTGAGAACTTGGTTCGTCTTTTACGTAATACATAGAATGTAAAGTGTGCAATTGGCGATACTGTTTATTATGGGATAACCGTGTAGGCAGAGGTGTAAGCCTGGTATCAAAAATGTGTTGTATGTCAAGCATTGTCAACTTTTTAGTAATGGTGAAACTGATTCACTGACATTGCTTAAAATTCGATGTATGATAACTGTATCTTTCTTGACTTTTTAACCAGGGTTCTCATTGGGCATTTCAGAAGGCATGTCATTTATGGACAGATGGAGGCGGACCCAGGAAGGGGCTATACTAATTGCATGTCATCAGTTACACTAGCCATAAGCAGTCCCAATTAATACATCCAGATCAATCAGACATACATCTCGATCAGTTCATAAATGTATACATCAGTCATAAACTTGTCAAAAGACAGCATGACTGTGTTGGGACTGTGAATAGTAAACACAGCTGAAAATTAAGACATGTCGGGGGATTCACGGGATGTTGCAAATTAGGTTCAGATTTTAATTATATCATGAATCCATTATCCAGGAGCTGAAGTACATCACATTCACAGCATGAGAACTTACAGTTAGGGGGCAAATACTGAAATAGACCATTTTAGTCGTGAAATGATGATAGTAATACTAATAGTATAAATACAAATTGTATTTACTACCTTTTCTTTATTTACACTCTAGAGCATAACAACTCCACGAAAAGGACGTACGAAACTGCAGAAGCTAAAAGTAAAAGTAACAGTACTATTCCTAGTGATGTGTAAGAGAGATATAACTATAAGCCGGAGAGATATAACTCTATTAATATTATAATTATAAATTAATAATAAAACTATGTATCGTGGATCGTGGTATCGTGGAGGCGCATTTCAGCGGCATTGGCGTATCTTTCTTCCTCGGAGTCGTAGTCGTAAAGCTCTACATCCCACTGGCAGCAAGAACAAGCCCGCACGTACAGCCCACACGCGGCCATTGACTATAATATAACAACAACAACAACAACAACAACAACAACAACAACAACAACAGCAACAAAGTTGTTATATTATAGTAAGTCAATGGCCGCGTTAGCTCCAAGAAACGGTATTGCTAGGGTTAGAATACCGGTGTATTGACGTTAGTCACACAGCCTGGTCGGGTTATGGCCGCGTGTGTGCTGTACGTGCGGGCCTGTTCGGTTCAAGGATAGAGAACATGGGTCCCAATAAAACCAATGTCATTTACATCAATATAAATATAATATTATATCAATATAATAGGTTAGGGTTATGGTTAGGGTTATGGATAGGGTTAGGGTTAAAATTAGGGTTAGGGTTAGGGTTACGCACATTGGTTTTATTGGGACCCATGTTCTCTATCCTTGGGCCGCTTGTTCTTGCTGCCAGTGCTACATCCCAGTACTAATCGCCTGGACGGAAAATATAGGCCTCCCACATAATATTTTCCCACTCACCTAAAAGATGTGAGGCGATGCCAGCAGTCAGCTGCTAGTGCTAGGGACCTCTGACCTCTGAATGACCAGCTTTATATTGATGTCGATTCATGCATGCAGAAAAAGATACGCGAGCCGGTGATGAACCGGTTAGAAGAGAGTTCACGCTACTCGAGTCCGCCCGGCGGCCGACTTTTAAATGTCAGAGCACGCCGCTTGAACCTCTGAGACACAACGGGCTTGCTAGTTGTTCGCTTGCGCGCAAGCGAGTTCTGATTATCAGGAGCAATCGCCATTTCCTTTCCAATATGGCCGCTTTCATGTGTGCCATTAAATATCGCGATCTGCGTTGCTTGGACTAATGAGTTTACTGATAGTCTTTGCGCGTTTGTCGAACCAGGAAAGGTATGCATATTTATTGGTTAATGTATAATATATTTGTTTATATTTAATTGTCTGCGATATCCAGTGCTCATTATTTCAATGATACACTGATTACACATCGACGTCACTGTTTTCCTGTCGGATGTCCAAACGCCGAAACGGATAGGATTGTCATTCGTAAGACCCTTCAAGGGTTTATTGTAATTTGTAAACGTCTTATATATGCCGTAATTAATTGTGCGTAAATATGCGACCAGAAATATAAGTAACAATGTTTATATAACTTATAAGGCGTTGTAAGCCTAAACTAGTAAAAGTGTGCGTATGCACTGCGTGTGACACTCGATGACTAGGCTATAGACTAGTAATAGTATTACTATTAGTATTACTATTAGTAATAGTACAGACATAGTAATAATTAGTATTACTATTAGTAATTAGTATGTGTGTGTGTGTTTCATTTTTAATGATTATTTCAATAAAACTTAGTATGCATTTTATTTTATTGTTTTAGCTTAATATATTGATAATAGTAGCTTTATTAAATGGGTTTTAAATTTATTAAGATAAAATTTTGATTTTTAGAATGAAGGTGTTGAAGTTCACTGTTTGGTTTTTGTGCTTGATTTCCACCTCCTCGTGTTCGAAACCACTTCACATCGTGTTTTGACATTCCCCTAGCTTGCTTTAATATATTGTGGATTATATATAAAGAGTAAGAGGGATGCATAGCTCCTTACATTAATAATACATAAACTTACCCCTCTGGTAGGGCAGCAACAAAATGTTCATTTATTATGTGAACCTATAAGGCTATATGTACACTATTTATGTGCAATATAAACCAAAGATAGCAAGAGATAATCATTTTGCTCATTTCTCATCTCTTACAAGTCGCATGCTCTCGTCCAATTTTCTTAATTGCCGTAACTATGTCGCTATAGTAAGTTAATGGCATTATTTGATTTGATATATATAATGAGTTGGCTCTAGTCTATTAATTTTTCATATGTATTGTATATATACTTCATCAGCCTTCATGCGGATCAATTTTAATCTTCTAAGGAGGGTCTTTCGGTCTGATGGCCGTTGATATATTAGGCTCAGGCTGACATTTATAATACTAGCAAGCCGACGGTGCCGTTTAGAAAAATCAACCCCCAGCATGTAAAACCGTCCCCGGCCTGTAAAGTTTGCCTGGCGGGCCTGTAAAAACCCATACCTACAGACCTGGCTGGCCTGTAAATTTTCAAACTAATTTCTACCCCTGAGCCTATATATGTACATATGAAAATGGCAAGGTCAATGTCCAGTGAAACTAATGAAGACATTTCCATTATTGCCATGGCTTTTTTACATGAAGAATAATCCATATATTAAAATTAAGGATCAGGCTAGATCAAAGTTCTAGTAAAGGCGTTACAGGTTACACACATGAAAGTTGTCTCATGTCATCAGTTGATCTGTGAGACTGTGAGCATTTTAATTAAAATACACGTTCTTTCTCTTACAGGTGTGAGACATCATAGGTGTGCGTGCGACTTCATACGCACGAGTAAGAATCGGTTTCACTCTACTCGTAAGCGTGGCCCACGATCGTTGTGTATTATGCCAGCGAACTCTGTGCTTGGGATCCATGAGGCTATAAGCGAGGCCCTACGCGGTTCCATCAAGGAGACCTCGCTCGAGGAAAGGCTGGTCGCTGCCTCGAAGAAAGTCCTTCTCACCAGCATCGACTTTGAGAAGGCCGGCGAGCAGTTTTCGCACCTGCAGCACCTGCGCATGAAGTACAAGCCGCTGAATGCGGGCAGCAGCGGCGTCCGCGATGTGAACGCCGCGAAGAAGGAGAAGATGGCGGGGAAGGAGCACGGGGAGGAGGCGCCGCTGAAGCCTCGCTGCACGCTGTACGCGGCCGAGAAGCTGCGGATGACGTGGACGCACGTGCTGCGCGTCGGCGCCGGCCTCGAGAACGCCGGCAACACGTGCTTTCTGAACGCGGTGCTGCAGTGCCTGACGTACACGCCGCCGCTGACGCACTACCTGCTGTCGGGCGAGCACGGCCAGCAGTGCCACGTCGTCGGCTTCTGCGTCCTCTGCGACCTTCAGAACCACATGAAACGCGCGCTCTCGCATTCGGGGCACGTCATCCGACCGCAGATGATCATCGCGCGACTGCGTCAGATCGCGAAGCATTTCCGCTTCGGCCGGCAGGAGGACGCGCACGAGTTCCTCCGCTACGTTCTCGACGTCGCGCAGAAGAACTGTCTCGCCGGTCAGCCTCGCGATCTCGACCGCTTCAGCCGCGAGACGACCGTCATCAACCAGATCTTCGGCGGCTACCATCGCTCGCAGGTGCAGTGCCTCAAGTGCCGCGCCAAGTCGAACACGTACGACCACTTCCTCGATATCAGCCTCGACATTAAAGTCGCGAACTCGGTGCAGCGCGCGCTCGAACGCTTCGTGCAGCCGGAGCTGCTGCAGAAGGAGAACGCGTACGACTGCCGGCACTGCGCGTGCAAGGTGACGGCGCAGAAGCGCTTCACGGTGTTCCACGCGCCGAGCGTTCTCACGCTGCAGCTGAAGCGGTTCGAGTATGCGCGATTCGACGGCCGCAAGGTGCACGACATGGTGCACTACCCCGAGCAGCTCGACCTGCGACCGTACATGAGCAGGCGGGACGGCCCGCCCGTGCTCTACAGTCTCTACGGCATCGTGTGCCACAGCGGCGGCGGCATCCACAGCGGGCACTACTACGCGTACGCGAAGGCACCCAACGGCGTCTGGCACGTGTTCAACGACACGATCGTGCGCGACATGAAGAACACGAACGTGCTCAATCGGCCCGAGGCCTACCTGCTGTTCTACGTGCGCGACTCGGCGCAGCCGCGGCTCAACGGCGAGATCTCGCACTCCGGCGCCGCTGACGCCGCGCAGAAGCCCGGCGCGGAAGCGAGGCCGGACGCTAAGGCAGTGGCAGCGCCGCCGGCGTCGCCAGCGAAGGGCAGCTTCATCGGGCCGCGGCTGCCGCAGGGACTGACGATCAATGAGGCGGCGAAACGCGCGCGGGTCGACATGGGTAGCCCTGTCCCTCGGCAGGCGCTCTCTCCGCCCGCGCAGCAGAAGGTTCCGCCGAAGTCGGCGCCGGAGAATTCACCGAAGCCAAAGGTGACGCCGTCGTCGTCGCCGCTCGCACGCGAGAAGATCTCGTTCGGCATCAAGCCGCACACTGAGCTCGTGAAACCACGCATCGTGATGCACATCAAGCAGGGCAAGGTGGTCGCGAACACCAGCAAGGCGGACCCCGCCGACGCCGCCGCCGCCAAGCTCAACCCGCTCGTGCCGTACCCCGAGCAGTCGTCGTCCGACAATGACTCGGACGCCGAGAACAAGGAGGCCGTGAAGCGCAAGCCGAGGGAGGCGGCGGCGTCGCCGAAGGCCGGCAAGACGGACAAGCTGCCGAGCGGACTGCGCGAGGGGAACCGGCCGTATCCCGACCTCCAGCTGGCGGTGAAGTCGCCGCTGGGAGCGAAGCAGAGCGGCAACGTCCCGGCGGCGCGCAGCGTGTCGAGTCCCATCACGGTGCAGCACGTCGCCCTGTGCAGCCCGCTGCGTAACGGCACGCCGCCCGTGCGCGCCACCTCTCAGTGGATCGTCACCGACCACAACCTCGTCTCGCCGTCGTCGCAGGGCAGCAACTGGAGTGTGAACTCGACGACCGAGTGGACGGTGTCGGACGGCTCGCCGCGCAAGGCCGCCGCCGCTAGCCGCGAGTACTCGCTCAGCGCGGGCTGGACGATCGAGGCGGACACAAAGCCGGCGCCCGCCGCGCCGCAGCCCCCCGCCGCGGGGGCTCCCCCGGACGAGGAGAAGAACGAGGAGCAGGAGCAGAGCCGGGGCGCGTGCGATGCGTCGTCGTCGGCCGGCGGCAGCGAGCGGTTGTCGAGCGGGCACGCGTCGGATTCGGACTCGCGGCAGAGCAGCATCCGGCTGAAGCTGTGCAAGAGAAACTCGAGCAGCGAGAAACCTACCGAGACGCAGTCGTCTGAAAGCGACGACACGCGGCACCGGAAGAAGAAGCGTCGGAACGGCGACGACGCTGAAGCAGGCGGCAAGAAGCACAAGAAGAGGAAGCGGCAGAGGAGCCGGTCGCCGGGGGAGGAGGGCGGCGAGTGCGCGAGCGAGTCGCGCGCGGACGACGACGAGGCGTCGGTGAGGAAGCGCCACAAGAAGCACAAGAAGAAGCGGCGGAAAGAGAAGGAGCGGCGGAAGCGGGAAGCGCGCAGCGAGGACGACGACGACGACGGCGAAGCCTCCTTCAAGATGGAGTGGGTGGAGAAGACGAAGGAGACGGTGCTCACAGACACTCTCGACGCGCTCCCTGCCGCTGCCGCCGCCACTGAGCTCAAGCCCGACGCTCAGGTGCCGACGTACAGTTGGGACGCGCACGCGAAGGAGGGTGTGGCGGCGGCGGCGGTGGGGAGCGGCGCGCCCGCTCGACCCTCGCTCGGCGTCGAGGAGCTGCTGCTTGGTCAGTCTAGTCACGGCTACGGCGTGGGCGTGTCTAGCTGGGACGGGGGAGACAGCCATGTCGACCTCGACGTCAAGCGGGAGATCGCCGAGCAGCAGCTGCGCCGTCGCTACGACGACGGTCACGACGAGGAGCTCGACTGCGGCAAGACGAAGAAGGTGAAGCAGCGCCCCCTGCTGGAGCAGCGGCCGGCGAGCGAGAACCCGTTTCAGAAGGTAGCCACGCTCAAGCAGCAGGTTGGGAGCCACCACTGGCAAACACCGTCCGGCTCAAGAAATCACTACCAAGTAGGGACCGGTTGTCATGGTAACAGTCATCGCGGTGACGGCTACCACGCAGCGAAATTTCAGGGTGGTGGCCCCAGAACAGGCCATGGAGATGGGTATAGTAATTACAATTATGGAAGAAACACGAACACGAATGGTTTCCAGGGCAACAGCTACCATAGTCGTCATCATCATCATCACGGACGAAGTTTTCGAAACTAGATGCTAATATTAATTTGTTAACAATCAGCTACCTGCTACCTGTGTCACTGCCAATTGATATGTTATCAAAATTGACAATTGAGCTTTTTAAAAGCGTTACACGTGCAGGAATACTATGTCATTTGACATTTTGTGGCATTTTAATCACATGCTGTTGTGCAGTTGTGTACAGGAGTACAAAAGACAGTTACTAAAGAGAACCTTCACTTAGTACAATAAATACATTAAATTGTACGTGATCCACTTTAAAACGTTTTTTTCTCTAAGTTTTAGGCAAAAGCACACTACACACAACAGTTGCCAAGTTTTGTTTTCTGGAAAACACTGCAGATTTATAAGTACTGTTTAAGTAAACTTTCATTTGTAATGCCTGTGACGCTGGTGCCCAGAAGGTTACAGTATAGAAGCAGGTGCGTTCTGGTGTATGTGCAAATCTTGTTGTTATTTACCCCCCCCTTTTATATGAATCAGGGATGTAGTGTATTTGACCTGTCAGTTTAAATTATTGATTATACATTGCTATCATGCACTAAAGAAACGTGTTCACATAGTGAGTAGAGCAAGCAAGAACTATCCAGTGATTATCATGACTGCTAAATCATTAGGTGTGGACACGAGTATCTTTTTTTATACTCTGTTAATACCAGTTGTTGGCTTTTAGAATGGGGAAAGTACAATTGGGGTTAACACTTGCAAGTCTGCACTGTAGTTTCACAAGCGAAATTGATGCTAATTAATTGTGTGTGCAACAGTGTTGCAATTTTACGAAGGTTACGCGATAGAACACGCCTAATTGACATATTGACAAATGATTTAACTTAAATTAAGTGACAGGTTGTGTACACGGGTGGGTGTGGTGCGTGCAAAGGAAAGGCAAAATGAACAAGTCTTTGAAGAATTAGATCCGATTGCACCTCACTACTACACCATACTCAAGGTAGTAAAAGTAGTAAAAATAGTAGTAAAAATATTTTGGTAGTAAAAGTACCAAAAAATCGTAAATAGTGTAGATCGTCCCATGTGACTTTCATGTAGTATATTTTGCATACCGAGATGAAATTCGTGCTCGATGTGTGAGGATATTATTTGTCTGTGTTTGGCGAATTAGTATAAATTCGTAAAAAGACATAAGTAGTCAAATTAGGTGAACTAAGTAGACAATGCAACCCACTTTTAACTAGACAATCCTAATTTAATATTCTGACACCTGAGTTGTGCTGTAGAATTTTTTGTGCACTCATGATTGCACATGGACTGTTGGGATGCTTCCTATATTAACGAGTTTACTTCGATTCAATTTTTTATGAAATGTGTCAATTATCAATACAAATCACACAGCAGTAGCATGGGATCATGAAGATATCACATGTAAAAACTTGTAATCGTATGCCTGTTTATAGTTACAAATATTTAATGTAATTTTTGTAATTTCGACCCAGCAGTACCATAAGCAATGTGTTTATGTAGGTTTTTGCAATGAAACTATTCTCTAGGTGGGGTGGGTGGGGTTTATTAAATGCTGTCAGATCAGTCGCATGTAATAAGTGCTATATATATGTCACACACAACATGCGGTCAGCCTTGAGTGCACACACCAACACGCAATTCACTTTCTTCAAGCCACATCAAATGTATATACGTATAATATATCTCACAAGAAAGGGAGAGAAGCGACACGGTAGTTTACCTACATGAACAGATATATAGTACATGTAGTAGCAATGTTGTTATTGTTTTATGAACACTGTTTGGTGAGTACTGACCGTAGTGCAATTTTGGTACAGTTGATTGCTAGTAGATCCATGTGGAGTGTTGTGTGCCTCACATGGTTTTGTTGAAAAGGTATTGTATATTGTATTGTATCTTTTTTCCGTCTAGTGATCATGAGATGCACTATGTCAGTATCGAGTTGAGAGATTGCTTTGTCAATATGTGGTGATTGGTGGTGTCACGAGCCTTTCTTCCGTAAAGGTATTCACTTTGTTATTACACATTTTAATCATCATTTTAGTAAAAAGTAACATTGCAAGAAAACTTGTATATTTTATATATGAATCGGCAACCTGTCTAAAATATGCTATGGGGTACAACCTCTAGCGTAAGTTCAGTATCGTGACAGAAACCGTATATGTAAGAAAGGACCTGAATGTCAGTCGGTCCAATTGCGCTCCGTGTGTTCAACATAACGGCCATTTTATAGAGAAAAACTGTGCCGCTGAATGCACTCTTCGTTATTAACACGGTGCCAGGTTTTAATAATAACTCGGCTGAAAATGCAGTGAGAACTTGGTTCGTCTTTACGTAATACATAGAATGTAAAGTGTGCAATTGGCGATACTGTATATTATGGGATAACCGTGTAGGCAGAGGTGTAAGCCTGGTATCAAAAATGTGTTAGTATGTCAAGCATTGTAAACTTTTTAGTAATGGCTGAACTGATCACTGAATTGCTTAAAATTCGATGTATGATAACTGTACACAAGTGACACATGAATTAAATATTACATGTCATTGAAAATTAAACCTTTTCTTGATACTAAATTGCATCTTTTTGTGCTGTAATCTATATAGCTGGAAATATAAGCAGACGAGAATTTCTATTAGTATTATAGATTTAAAAAGCATTACTTGTGGCACTAGATTAAATTCTAAATTATCGTAGGACACATTTAATTTTTTAAACGTCTGTTACTCCAAGTAATATTCCGACTACACTTCGTGTATGTGCGTATTACATTCTCAAATCAGTGAATCGGCGTTATCTATACATATAGAATGTACATAGGAATGGTGCTCGTGACAGCCAAGATAATTTTCTTCGACTGATCTCTTACGCTCGAACTGCACCACGTGTGCATGGTGAAACCCGATCTACAAAGTTCACTTTGCTAACTTCAGCATCCTGCCACGATTCCCCACCTATGCTAGTACATACAATGGCGCTCGGACGTTGGTCGCCATTGACAGTCCAAGATAATTTTCTTCGGCCAAGCTATTATATTCACACTGGACACCTTACAGGCTAGGCCGCTGTCCTATTTATGAACGCAAGTCTACTGATAACAATTTATTACATAAATCTATGCTGAGATACCCCCTAACCATATTAAATGCATACTCATCACAAAATATGACTCCTGTCACCTGTGGTGAGATATTGCGCGTGCGCTAACCCACTAACGTAGTCAGATTGTGTAGTACTGACTGGTATATGCAGCGGGCACCTTGCATACAAGATCTTCTTCCTATTTCTTAAGAGAGATCTACTGGTAAGAGATCTTATCATATAAACCTATGCTAGAATACCTCCTATTTTAAATGCATACGTTTTGCAAAATATACTCTTTCTTGGGGGATATTGCGCATGCGCGAGCACAGTTTTAGGCGAGCAGTATGGACTGAAGAAAACTGTACGTATACTTGCTGAGGTAGAGAGGAGTGAGAGACTGAGGTAAGACGACAGGGACGATAGCGGAAGGCGGTAGAAAAAGGAGGCTGAGCGAAAAACAAGGGAGGCAAGGGGTGGGACGGGTGGGGATGAAGTATCAGGAGGTAGTAGTTTTGCACCCTACAGGCTAGGGCGATTTCCTAATTATAAAAGCAGGTCTACTGATAAGAATTTATCAGATAAACCTATGCTGAGATAGCCCCTAACCATATTGAATGCATATTTATCACAAAATATATATCCACTAACGTAGCCAGATTGTGTACTGACTGGTATGTGCAGCAGGCACCTTATATGCAAGGTGTTCTTCCAATTTGTTAACAGAGGTTTACTGATGGAATCTTATCATATAAACCTATGCTAAAATAACTCTTCTCTATTTTAGATGCACAAGTTTAGCAAAATATTCTTTGTATCGAGAGATATTGCGCATGCGCAGATACACAGGTGCTCGCCGAATTTTACCACGTTTCCCTATAGTCGGATAGCCTGAGAATGATCTGAATTCATAATTTCGCTGCATGCTCTATAATTTCGGCGCGAACGGGCATGCGCAAATCTGATATTTCCCTGGTTGGAATTGAGAAATTATTCGAAATGTGCGAAAACACACAAACGGAGTTTACTGGAGCACGAATGGTTGTTGTCGTATAATGGCGTATAATATGTACTCGAGGTAACCATCTGATATGGTTAGGGTGTTAGGGTTAGGGTGTAGGCGTAAGCGACATACTCGCCAACACCTCGGGTACTACATATACGACAACGACCACTTCAGCTTTACTGGGTGACCTAGAGTTGCCGACGGAAGTAGTATTTCGCTGAATTTCTGCAATTTCCTAGAGAGCACGTCGCCAGCACTAGGTGCATGCGATCAAAAATTTCGCTAGCTTCTCAGCCGGTCGCAGAGGCAACGTCGGAAAGAGGTGCGGGCGGTAAAATCGTCGACCGGAGATGTCCAGTATTATCTCGGGATCTCTCGAGCGCTTCTCTACTTACTCACTAGCCCAACTAACCCGACCAGGCTGTGTGACTAACGTCAATATACAACGTCAATATACAACGTCAATATACAACGTCAATATATAGTCAATATACAACGTCGTATTCTAACCCTAGCAATACCGTTTCTTGGAGCTATAGCCCGACCAGCTAGGCTGTGTGACTAACGAGTAACGTTAATATACAAAGATATATACACACTTAACACAGGGTCTTCTAACCCTAGCAAAGACCGTTTCTTGGAGCTACTTATTTCTCTACTCTATTTCGTCTATTATTGCCGATAATTACCTGTAAAATCGGTCAAATGCTCATCTGCAACACACAACAGTGACAACTTCACAAGTACACCGCACGCACGCCCTGTGCACAAACAACAACAAGAACAGAGACAGAGTAAAAATACAATTATTACAATACAATTACATTTACAATATTTTTGTACTAAAAGTAAAATAACAATTTTGTGTAATATACTAATAATTATTCTTTGAGACTTTGTGTCACTGTGACCTGTCATCGCGAAAGCCTACTGAAATATCTTGGAAATATCAGGAGTTAATAAAGACAAAATTGTCTTTAAGGAGTTAATAAACGAACTTCATTAACCGGACTTCGGTGTTCGGACTTTATTAACTCCTGA